TTTTTTGTTCTGTCACTGTCATTCTGTTACACTGTGGAGCTTCTGTCATGAAAACAAATTCCTCGTATGTGTAAACATACCTGGCAATAAAGCTCATTCTGATTCTGATTCTGATTCTGATAAGCCTAGAGGCAGGAAAATAAAAGTTTCTATGGTGAACTCAAAGGAGGATTTCAAGAACACTACAGTTGAAGAGTTAAAGGGGGCATAACACACACAGTTTCACCCAATCGCATGTTGATCTTGAGTACCTATAGAGTAGTATTGCATCCTTCATATCTCCAAAAATTCTTTAGTTTTATCATATTTATAAAAGAAAAATACAGCTTTACGATTCTCTCCAGAAAAAGCTGAGCTCCTGGAGCTGTGCCGTGGGTGGAGCTAAAGAGTGACGAGCACTTGAATGCTTTTTACAGTCTATGCTTGCGTGCCGATCGAGGGGTGGCGCAAGATGGCGACCTGAACGGTTGTGTTGGTATGAGCTCTGAGGCGTTTTTGAGGAGTTTGCATCTTCTGGGCGAATTTGTTTTGTATTTACAAGGTGGGGAGTGAGAACTCTCTATAAAAGTAGAATGCTTTAACTGTTTAATTAATAAAAACCTCAACAGCAGACTGTGACGTATATTGATAAATCAGACTGCCAGCCCACGTGTGAATTTTTCAAAATACCAAAGAACAAAGATAGAAAGTTACTTTCTTCGCTTCTCGAAGCATCATCTGTAGACTTTGATTCATCCCCAAATACTCCAACAGGCAGTCCTCTTTCAAAAAAAACTTGTCAGGAAGAACCCAAAGTCTCTAATGCCGATATACTTTGTGCTGTCAATGCCCTCACGGATCGCTTTTCAGCAACAGTCCTAGGCCGGTTATCATCCAGTTCGCACTCCGGACCTACAAAGAGAAAGTCTGGAGAGCTGCACGGGATCATCCTGCACTCAAGGAAAGAGGTGTTCGCCTGGCAGAGGACCTGACATTTGCAGAAAGACAACAGAGGAAGTTGCTATGGCCAAGGGTAAAAGCGGCGAGAGAGGAGGGGAAGAGAGCTTACTTTCGTGGAGCAGATGCTTTTATTGATGGAGAAAAACGGTCTGTTGACGAATATCAAGATGAATATTAACCGAGTGCACTGTAAAATCCAATAGTTTACCTTACTTAGATTTAGTTAGTTATCTTTACTTAGTTGTTATACTTACTAGGTTTTATTAAGTTACAGCTACTTTCAAGGCACATAAAACAATTTACTTACTGTTTTGAGTGACACTTACTTAAAATATTCAAGTAGCCACAAAGGAACCAATGACATTAATAAAGCAGTGAGAGGCAGCAGTGCACTAATATGTTGCTAATGTGCAACATAACAACAGCAGAAGAAGAAAATAAAGAGTCTTAATAGACTTTTCACTCATTTCCTCCATGTCTGCAGTTATCTTTCACTAGTTGCATTCACTCGTTTCCCAAAGTCATCTTGAATGTTGCATTCTCAATACAACTGAAATATTTGAGAGAACATCACATAAGCTAACTTCATAAATTGATGATGATTTTCCTAAAATGTGTTTTTTTTAACTCCCCATTATAGTGATAAGCAGTCCCTTTGGTTGGGCACTTTCAACTTGATTTACCTTCCTGTTACTGTAGTAATGCAATATGAAGTCAGAGTTAATTGATTTCAAAGGAAGAAAAGTAATTAATAGGTTGCTTATAGAAAGTGACCTATTTTCTTAGAAAATGATTAGTGCATTAAATGTGTGTTCATTAACGAACTTTATCAAATTTATTTTTTCATAAAGACCCTGATATGTTTTTCTTTGGGTTTATATCATTTTTAAATTGTGTGTGGTAATATGCTACAGTCTCACACAGACTTAAACATTCAGCACGTGAACCACAACATACTAAAACAGTCTATGCTACTCCAGGATTACCCACAAACCCCTCTGATTCTACAAAAACAGTCTATGCTACTCCAGGATTACCCACAACCCCCTCTGATTCTACTAAAACAGTCTATGCTACTCCAGGATTACCCACAACCCCCTCTGATTCTACTAAAACAATCTATGCTACTCCAGGATTACCCACAACCCCCTCTGATTCTACTAAAACAGTCTATGCTACTTCACAATTACCCACAAACCCCTCGGATTAGTTGCTCCATCATCATCATCATCTACTGAGGGTCTGAAAGACACAGACGGTCCTGATGATGATTTGCTCAGTAAACACCACCATTGCACCTGCTGAAAGGATTTGTGTAATGTTTTCTCATTTTGCTTAAAATTATATGGGCAATAATGTGTTTAATGTGTGTTTTGTTGTATATAACTGTGAACAAAATAAAAGATGATTGTTCTTTATATCAATACCGTGTTATTATTTTGACATCAAATCACATCAGTAACTAATGTTCTTGTTCTTACAAAGTCAGCAGCAGCTCAGGTCTGTCCATATAAACTGCATTATGATTTGATTTGTTTCAGTTACACAGCTCCTGAAGGTCAGTTATTCTGCATTATGTTTTATGAGGTGTAATGCCATCTTCTGGAGTGACTGAGACTGTGTGTGTGTGTGTGTGTGTGTGTGTGTGTCTCTGTGTGTGTGTGTGTATGTCTGTCTCTGTCTCTCTCTCTCTCTCTCTGTGTGTGTATGTCTGTCTCTGTCTCTCTCTCTCTCTGTGTGTGTGTGTGTGTGTGTGTGTGTGTGTGTGTGTG